TGACGTTTGGAGAACCCAGGTCTCAGCTTGGGAGTGCAGAAAAGGAGGGCAGGATTTCACATCTCAAGCTCTGTGCTGTAACCTAAGTACAAAATGTAAAATATAACACACTTCTGACCTCAGCCTTTATAGCCTGATCATCACTATTTTAATCATTCCCCCCCCCCTCATTTTTCAAAGGAATTAAGTAAGAGCCACATCAAAGAAGCTTTAAACCAGTCACGAAATACCAAATTCTAATTCCTACAGCAAACATGACTAAACTGTTACACATAAATACTTTAAAGCTAATCCCACCCCATGATCTATAAGGTGCTATTTCTACCCACAAAACAGTCGAGTCATAACTGTCCTCAGGGCATTAAACTGAAGTTCATCCATTTTGGTGCATTTACAATTTTGGCTTCTAAGCACTACTGCTAATACCTCCAGATCTAATAACATGAGGGAAACTACAAAAAGAGAATGTCTAAATGACTGCAACTTGCAGCTTCGCATCTGAATTATCAAAAGCTCCAAGCACAAGAAGCAAGTGGTTACAGAACACAGATCCACACTAAAACTCTCCACTTATTAAACAATTAAGTCGTACAATCCTAATCAACACACTGAGGAGCTGTGCTTACTAGTTACCATCCTCTTTGACTGAAAACAAGCGTCAGGAGAAGAGAAGGAGGAGGCTAAAAGACACTGAAAAGCGTGGCAGATTCTAGAGGGGTCACACCACATCATGTCTCCCCGACACACCCCTGGTCAGGACAAGTCTGCATGGAGTAGCATCAGGTTGCTTTTGCATTCTTTCAGTTCCAAATAAAGAGGAACTGGACTGCTCTTGCAAACCCTCTTCAGAGTTAAAATTCAACCACCTTGCCACTGCCAACTTTCCAGCCAGCCAGGGAAGTGCTCCACCTCCACCGGGAGGAGCCGCTAGAGAATTAGCTAAAGCTGTCTAGTTTGGAGCGCTGGGCTACACTGGCTTCAGTGGCCTCCCCAGTTGTTTTCCCATCTCCGATCCTCCACAGAAGACATTATGCTGACACCGGACTAACAAAATAGCTATTGCTGTACTTCTTTAAGAGGCATGTATGATACACATTCCTAGAGGGCCAGTGATACCACCCCTCCAGCATTACCAGCACCCTTGACAGCTGACGTTAAACTTCGTGTAACTCCCCCGACACCCTTTATCAGGCCCCAGGGTTCCTCTGCAGCCTGGCAGACACTTGCAGTACTCTCGCTTACAGGACTTATCAGGTGCATGAGCTCTGCGCCAGGTCCTGCTGCAGGTGGTCAGGCTGCGCTGCTGCGGCTGCCTAGCAACAGATGTTTCTGCATGCCCGTCAGGAGAGGGTCAGCAAGGCCAGAGATAAAACCAACAGTGATTTTCCACTGCTTTGTTGCTGGATAGGAACCCTATAAACCCTCTATGGTAATCAAAATCAGTTTTTAAGAAAGGACCCTGTCCGAGAATTAACCAGCATAAATTAGAGATTAGATCCAGCCTTTTGACAGCCAGGTAAACTCGCTGAGAAGCTTCCGAGCTTACAGCTGTGGTTAAAGCAAACCATCTTCCAGGATGGAAAAATCAAACATTTTTCCTTCTAAGAATCAGTTATGCAGCTGACTCTGGAGGAAAAAGAAAAACTGGGAAAAGGATCAGAAAGTAAAATTCAAATCACGAATTTGGTCAAATGTTTCTGCAGAAATAAAGACTAAAGCTTCGTATAAGCTCAAGTATGTAAGTGAAACTTCACCTAATTGTGCATGTGTAATGAGCATGGTAATTAGATAATCAAGTTCAAAGCCTCAGCAGCGCATAGGAAATGGCAAAAAGATTTATTTTTAGATACTCGATACTGAAAATTTGTGGAGCACAAATCAAATCTGCAATGCATAAGAGGCTCTGCTACTCTGACCCACATAAATTTCCCCCCATGCATCCACCAAACCCCCTTCTCACGCTGATGCCTACACAGGATTTCCTTTCCTCTCCAGCTGCCGTGTTTCTACTTACATTCTCCCCCCAAGAAGCAGCAGGGTAGCCAGCCCCAGCTAGAAGCACTGCCCCTGGGGGTAAGCAGGTTGCTTATTTTTAAGACCACGCAACCTCCTACATGCAATTCTGCCAAAAGGGCAGCTCACTAGTTGCTACAGCACCTACTTCAACTGAGATACAGGAGATGTTGCTGGCATAACCAGAATGTCTCGGGTATCACTGAACACAGTTGCCAACAGCCGTTAAAAGGGAGATGAGACGAGCAGGGCCTCCCCACTCTGTCCCATATCCCTGAGCCCAAATAGGTCAGCCCTTCCTTTCTCAAACTTTCTGCCTACAGATGCACAATCCCATGGGGCCAACCTGCTCCGTTGCCATGTCTCTGCTCTCTAAATCCTAAAGCCAAGGTTCTCCATTCTTGTCTGCAGCTGGGAGTTCTCCTGAGCAAATTGTTTGGTCCGCCCCAAAACCCTTTCGGCATGCTATTCCCTGACTCCAAAACACTCTGCAAGGGAAAGGAGGAATGGTGTCATTTCTGCAGAGACAGCCTGACACTGGATACACAGCATGCTCAAAACTTTAAAAGTTTTAAAATCTACAGGAGGCAAAAGCTATGTTCCTTCAACTTTAAAACAGGCACTTTAATCGTAAGAAAGTAATTTCATAATTAAGATATCCAAAAACTGCTGCAAAGCTACTGCAAAGCTCTGTATTCTGTTATGCATGGTTCTTCCAACTGCAATGACGCAAAGTGCTTTATAAGAAGACCAGGTGTACCAAAAGGGATGCCACTCAGGGATATTTTGTTGTTACTCACAAAAATATGCTGAAGAAGAACACGAGAAAAACTATGGAAGACAGAAGAGGACAGGCTAAGAAAGCCAAATCCTCTCCCCTGCAGCACTCCTGGCCCATTGGGCTGACGTTGGAGAGTTCATGTGGCCCTTGTGAAGAAGGGTTCACCTTGCCTCACGCAACTGGACTGGTTCCAGCCTGCAGTAATATGAAGCCACACCAGTGCTCTCAGCCAAAGAGGGAGGCTACCACCCAGCCACAGTGACTCTTCCCTTCCCTAAGCCCAACTTCATGTCAGAAGCCAGAGTTCCGCAAAGTTTTACAAGACCACCTCAGTCTCATAATCTTTTTAAGAGATGCAGCACCTGTGGCTTTTGAAACATTCAAAGTAACATTGAAGAGAACAGGTAGGAACAACAGAGCTTAGTAAGGTAAAAGCATAGCCAGTCCCTGAATTACATCATTCTTGATATTAATTTAAAACTGACAAAATGCTTTGCTGACTTAGAAAGAAAACTCAGCTTTGATTTCTTCATTCCGTTGAGGGTAGTAATCAAAGCTGTATGGACAGAGAACGCTCACACAAGGTATACTTTGTCTTTCAAATTTTAGTTGCTGTTTGGCAGCCACAGTCTGCCTTTTCACCCCTCTGTGGTGTGAGAAAAAGGACTATATAGTGCATATTAAGCTCAACTTTAGTCCAGTCTTTGTAGCTCTCATATTGCAAAGCTGCATGTGCACTTACATTTTCTGTTTATCTGTCACAAACCCCACCTCGCCCAGACACTCACACTCCCAGAGGGAAGTGCAAACTGGGCATGAATTTGTCCTTTGGTGATTCAGAAAATATTTGAGAAGTTCAAGGAAAAGAAAAGAGAAAGTAACAGACAGGGAACTATGAAATCTACAGGAATGAAGAGCATTAAAAGTAGGAAGGGACAACCTGAGCTCACTAAGAGAGAGTCTGAGCCCCCATATGTAATAGAAACTATATCTTAAGTATAAGGAAGCACAGCCCAAGCCACCCACTTTGCTATTTTCACAATCAAATTAAGGACCCTAACAATCCTGCCATAGAAAAGTTTGTCCTCTGCAAACATTTAGCTAGGTAAGATCATAGTCCCAGCTGCTGCCCGTACTTCTGTAAAATGAACGTCACTGTCTTTGCTGCTTGGCAGACTTATCAGTAGCAGATACCATGCAAGGCCTCAAAGAGATAACAAGCATATTATCAGCAGTGAGTGCGAGACTCTTTCTTGTGAAAGCCATTTTTTTTTTCAGTAAGCTCTCCAGACATCCCACTTGAGGCGTGAAAGGCCTGGAAACTGCTATGGTCACTTCTGCTGTTTCCATTTCAGCTATCCGCAGAGAAGCGATTAAAATGTTGCTGTGTGCTCTGCACCTTACTAAGAAAAATCTCAATGCTCTCTCATGGAAGTATTTATTGTGCGCTCAAAAATACTGTTGCACTGCCGGAGCCAAAATATTTTACCGTACTCACTGCTCCTACACATGGTCCTGTATCTAAGCACAGGACACAAAAGTGAGATTATTTTTGCGTTGTAACAGTTCGGCATTAAACATTTGCAATACATGTGCACATGCTCACGTGGTGAGCTCGTAGAGCATTCTCCAGAAATCATCATGGAGTCCAACAAATGCTTTAGGTCTTTGGCTCACTTTCATAAAGTAAACAAGCATTTTCAACTTTCCATCCCCACTGCATTCAGCAGAACAAGATTTATATCAGCACAAATTTCCCTTTGTGAGTAGTTTTAACATATTGTGTTACTGTGTGAGTGGAAGGCCCTGCAATATGGCCAAGTGTCCTGCTTTCACTCTGCCGTGAGGATGCCAACCTCCAGCAGATGAGGGTGGTGGGCAGACAGGAGCAAGGACACAGTAAGCTGTCACAGCAAGATTCATCACTCTCATGTATATTTTTATCATTCTTCTTTTTTTCACCTCTTATTTCTTATTCTGAAATTAACACACATCCAACATGGAAAGCACGCAACCCACTCTTCATGGAACTGAACTGCAGAAATACTAAAGATGTATGAAAGATAACGTATTTGCATACTTTTGTGTATACTATGAAATAAACCCTGTGCTCCTGCAGTCTCATTCTCCCAAAAAAGAGCACAGGAATGATCATGGATACAATGCAGCACACATTGCTTTCACCTCCGCTATCTTCGTTGCTTACCTTCATTAACTGCATGAGGCTTAATAATGCAACAAGTACAGTTTGTGAATTTTGCACTGTTGACTGGTCCACGACCTCCACTGGAGGGAAAGAACAACTCCAGCTCCTGAAAACAATTGTAATTGAATACATTTCAGTTAGATCAAGCTGTGTACATCAGCTTTTATCATAAGTAACAACATCTGAAGTATCCATAGTCACAGAAGATAAACCTTAAATATAGATTTTTGTGCTACAAATACTTTTCCCCTATAATATTCTCTCAAATGTATCTTTCCCTTTCTGGCACCATTGCTACAATCATAAAAACATGATTTGAATATTTCTTGCAATGTCTTTCTTTTTACTTCCACAACACAATCCATTTCCATTCAGAGTATTCAAAATGCTGCTGCCACAATCATTTGGCAGAGGTGTTCCCAGATTTCTGAATTCTCTCTGTCTTTCTCAAATCCACTCCCATACACACATATTTTATCTTCCCCCTTTTCACATCATCTTTTCCACTATTTGAGCAAAAATACAACTACCATCCATTTCTCAGTATGCTTTCTTTCCATAAACTGACCTCCACCCAATTTGTTTACAACTTTTTTCTTTTGTCTTAAACAACTAAACTTTGTCTAAAATTGTTGACTCACTCCTCATCGTTATTGATCGTATCTTTTTTTTTTTTTAAATTGTACTGAATTGAAGCTGATTAACTCAATTGCTCTGATTTCTGGGATGAATCAAAAGAACCTCTTTGCCTCTGATCACTTCCTTTCTTCCCACCATCACTATTCAGGTATCATATAGCTTGGGTCTTAGACCATACTGGGGTGAGCTTGATATTTTTTTTTCACTGTTCACTGCCAGCTTCGCACTTTTTCCATATCATTTCTTCATGTTATACAATCCGACAATGAACATTAGTCAAATGCTCAAAACACAGATTCCATTCCAGACCTATTGGACAAATTCAGTAAAGGAATTGATGTATTTCTCTTTAAGGGAAATTACAATATCCTGGAGATACTACTACTGAATCTATCCGATTTCTTCCTGTGTAACAGCAGCAGTGCCATTTCCTGGAATTGTCTCATTTAATTTACTATCTTAATTCAGATAAAATAGACTTAGCTATCTCCCAGTCTTTAACTCATGGCACACTGACAATTCCTGTAATCCTTATTTGACTAATTATACAATTCAAATAAATGGGTCTTTCAATAGAAAGGAAAATGTTTTTTGTTTTTCTCCTAGCAAATGATCCACATTTTAAGTGGGCATATCCGAGACAAAAGGGTTCTTTTCTTACATCCTTCTAGTGATAAAACACTGCATGCTTCAAAGACCTTGTCCCACTCTGTTAGTTAATGTTCACCCTAAAAGAAGCAGCCAGGAAAAGGCAGCAAAATATTTGCAATATTTAACCCTTTGTTTTATTAATTAAAAAACATAAAAGGAAAATAACTAAATAATGATGAAGGACTAGGACAATTAAATGCCAAATCAAGTGAAGCCTTAAAAAGAAAATTATTTTCCTTTCCCTTTATTCCTGATCTACAGAAATTCCAAAATTTGGCATGCAGAGACACCAGCTTAAAGTATACCAGAGGCATACTTTCACTTGTCATTTAGGCTTCAAAAGAACAATTCAGTCTTCCACTCTAACTGTTCAGTTTACAATACATTCATCAGATGTGGTTGGGACTTCGGTTTTCCTTCAGAAGAGTTCATTTAGGTCCCTTTATCTTAGATTTCTTTCTTTTCAGCAAACCTCTGCAAGGTGCGGCCAACTAGTTTCCATGGCAACTGCTACACAGCCATACTGGGCCTACTAAATTAAAATAGGCACAGGGGTATTAAAGTCACAGTTTTGGTTGTTATTGAAGATTGGTATCAGTAACAAAAGATGCTACAGATGAATGGAGTCTTCAAACAGCATTTCAAAAATAATGAAACGTAAAAGAACAACAAACTTAAGCCAAAGCACATATTTATGCTTCTAATCAAAATTTTATGCTAATAGATACTACTTCCTACACTCTCGGTTCAAAAGCTGGCAGAGTTGTCATGGCAGCACACAGGAACAAAGAGAAACTTTCACCCTTATATATGAAGACATCTAGCTACTTAACCAGAACTACAAAGACTTCTCTGACTAAAATTCTCCTTCATCAGAAAAGATCGGTTTCATCCAAACACCTTCTGACTATGAAACATCTTCATCAAGTTTGCCAGCAGAAAAAGTATTTCAGGTCCAGCATATGAATTTGTCAAAACCAGAGACACACGGAGAGGATCCAGCAGCCCAGGCACAGTGCAGATCAGAGATGAGTGCTTGACCAGCAGAAAACCACCCACGCTTTGCAGTTCACTTGCTGTGCCATGCAGCCTAACAGCCAGCTAGAAGAAGAGGCTGACCAACTCTGTCCTCACCACCAGGCTATAATCTCTACATGTATTTTCTAGTATACAGTAGCTGGCAGCTTATTAGGTATTCTGGGGCAGGTCTCTCTCCAGCTGTGCGATTGCAGCTGTTCCGATTTAAACAGAGGAAAGATTAGGAGCAAGGAAGCAACCACCGGTATATTTTCCCTGCTGGTATAGAGCTAAGATACCACAGCACAATACCAGTCAATCATGAAGTAAACTTTATTCTTGCCATTATATAACAGCGTATCTACCCCACAACAACACACACAAATAAACACCTCAATTCTGTAAAAATGCTGGTGATATTTATCACCCAGTCCCAGGGCTTTTTCTTAACAATAAGGGAAGACACACTGCAAACAAAGCAAAAGGGAACTGAACTCCTCAGAGCTAGGTCCACTGTATTTCCTCTCAAAACACAAAGCAATAAAAAGTGGCCTGTTTTCATAATTATTCATTCTGAACAATGACAGCAGAGGAAAGCAGGCAGCAGGTAGAGGACTAGTGAGGACTGTAGAGAACAGATAAGCGAAACACAGGAGGCATAAAAGGATTTAATTGTTTAATCCCTTTCTTATTATGGCCAACATCAGTAGGCTATAGGTAGATCATGCAGACTATACAATTAACTCAATGTTTGTGATGTACAGAAGACATTAAAAATGACGAGGCATGCTCTCCTGACCAAAGTGCCCAAGGTTCCCCTTTATGACAGAGATAAACAAGATTTCTGTTTTCACACAGTTTAGTTTTCCATGCTAAAAAGGATTCATGAAGAGTATCTAAACTAGTTCTGAATTCAGGTGGGGGAAAAAATGATGAATTCCTGACCCAGCTGTTACCAGATAAAGTAAAAATAATCCCCAGTCAAGAAATGCAGTCAAAAACTTACTTGAGCAGCTGAAGCAACCGAATCTGGGCCGTGAGCTGCATTTCTTAGGCCATCATGTCCAAAGTTCGCTCTAATGCTGTCTAGGGCATCAGTCTGAGCCACTGAAGAGTTTGCTGGCCCCAGTAATGTTTTCCATTTACAAACTGCATCATCTCCTAAGATTTCCATGGCAACAATGGGACCACTCGTTATAAACTGCAGAAGCTCACTGTAAAAAACAGCACATGGTGAGCCACACTACAAATTTAAACCAACAAAAACATATGACGCAGTGGAGATGCTCAGAACTCAACTCAGCAAGGCCTTCAGCAACCTGATCTAACTTTGAAGTTGGCTCTGCTTTGAGGAAGAGGTTGGACTAGGTCATGTGCACACATTCCCCTCTTATTACGGTTGTAGAAAAAGAACCAGATAACACAAACTCCCACAAGCTACTGTGTAGTATGTTAGACTTCAAAACAATTTTTTAAAAATCAGTACTGGCAACAGTGAAAGAGACCCTGCTAACCATTTGTCTGACAGGAATGATTCCTAATCATGTCTCCTGCACAGCAGAATTTCAGGATCCTCAGACATGGACTGCGTGTGTTCCCCACTGACACAACTTCAGCACTGCTGTCAGGATGGATTGCTCCACTGCCCCGTGGATCTCTCCCACAGATTTTGCCCAGCCAAAATCCAAAGTGGGAGAGAAGGAAGAAGCAAGATTAGGAATGTTTCCAGCGGAGAAGGGACTTAACCACAAAGTGAGTTATCAGATCCTGGCAGAAGCAGAAGTCCAGTGATTTTAATGGGATGAATCTGAGTAAGGAGAAGAGATTGTCAGGAGCAGCCTGCCTCCTGACCCAACCACCTCACTTACACAGAACACAACCACTCAAAATTGGAAACCCAAACGTTCTATTAAAAAACTTAACAAAACACCATATCTGTTATTCTATATCTTTACAAAACATGCATACCAATAAGCCTGCCTTTTGACTCTGCCGTCTGGACAGAATGAAAAAAGGAGAAAGTTGACTCAATGCTTTTTGTACTACTTTCTTAAAAAGAGAGCTTTACACTATTATAATTGTGGATGTGCGTGCTTCTCCAACCATGTTCTTCCTAATGATCAGTGAGCAATAAGAGAAGAGAGGAGAAATCCAACTAGTTCTTTGCTAAAGGAATGATATTAAAACTATGAAAAGTTACATAAACATAAAGAAACTACGCAGGGAAAAGCTATTGGAACTCAGGGTCTGTTGGTCGGAAACTGTTTAGGATATTTTTAAATGGCTTATACATACATGCATCCAAGAAAAAAGCAATTTCTACAACACTGCTTACTGTGAAGACTAATCCTGAATATTAAACAAGTTTTTAAAATTAAATTCTTTCGTATGAAAAACATTCTCTTCCAAACAAGTAGGATTGCTATTTTTCCCTACTATTCACTAGACTTACACTGACTAGTGAACTTGTAAACTAAATCTGAATTTAAAGACAAGTAACACAATGCTAAATAGAAATAAGTCAGAGATTTTACATTTCTTCTGCCTTGAAGATTCTTGTTCTATTTGATTTGTAACGCCTTATAACTATTTGTTTCTAATTTAGAGAAAAATCCTATACAGAAGATGTAGCCTTCCCACTGTAGGACGGGAAACAGGCACATCACAGTGGACAAAGGTTATAGTTCCTCAGATAATTACAATTAGTGTAGATAGACATCTGTGAAATAACACTAGAGGCAAAACTCTTGCTTATTTATCAATATATTCAAGCAGGCTTACTCAGCAAAGAAAAGGCAATTCTACACCTTCCTCTGATCTCCAACATGGTCAGACATAGCCTGGGGACATGTCTCCATGAAGGGCTTGAGTTTGGACACAATAAATCAGTTGCTGTTGCAGGAGAGCAGCTCGCAGATCCTAATACTCAAGCGTTTCATGAAAGTACTGAAACCAGGTCTTTTGACCAAGCCAGTGCAAACCCAGGTTCCAACATGGCTGCACCCTCTTCCTAAAAGAGGCAGACTGCCAAGTCCAGAGGGAGGAGAAGAAAGTTGTTTGTTGACACTTTCAGGCAAAGTGGACATGATACAACCTCTGGGTCATAACCAATCTGGTCATTTATGGAAAAAACTAAGGTTTTTCATGTTAGGTGCAGCAGTCTAGCATCACCGAAGTTTGATGTTTTGTCCAAAGGTAGCAGTACAATAAACAACTGCCCCATGCACTGTCCTTTCAGTTACTTATGACTTCGGGAATTTGTTACCAAATCAATTCTCACAGATAAGTGTTCCCCCCTAATTCTCATTACCTGCAAGCTCCACCCTGATCCTGAAGATCCCCTGGCTTTGAAGTTTCGCCTTGCTAGGAGCATTTTCACTTCTGAGACACCAAAGACATTCCCCTGATATCATCAGGCTCTAAAGAGTGTGAGTTAAAACTCCCAGATAGCTGAAATACGGATCTGTCCCTGGAGGAAGATGGACAGGGTACATACTTTGCAAAGAGCTTCATTCAACTAAGACAAGTTCTGATTTTCCCATGGTCCTGCAGTACCAAATATGGTAAATTAATCCTGTGCATTCAATAAGCTTAATACATGTCAAGCTGAAATTGATATACCTACTTATAAAAAGGTTTTGATTGATGGTCTATGTAGAAATCAGCTGCTTCTTTTCTGGAAGAGTAAAAAGACATAGATATAGACATATAGATATACACACACACACACACACATATATATAACCCCCCCTGAAAACCACTAACTACTATTCACCAACATGTCTCTACAGGTAATGTCTTCCCAAGATGGACAGCTTGTGGAGTGTTCATGCCCAATAACAGAAACTACATTCGACTTTGTCATATTTTGTGTGGCTACAGGTATACCTTGTAGCTGACTCCTCCTTATGCTCCTACTCTGGAACCCAAGAAGAATTTCATTTTCCTACCCCTGACAAATATTTGAACAGTCACAGCTTTCTCCAGCTTTTTTATCAAAATGACCACCTGCTCATTGGAACTGAAAAATTCTTGGTTTGTTGCTGTCAGTTCAGTGCAAGTACGAGCCATTCAAAATTCAAAAGATTTTCATTCACCATACAACTAATATGCTTTCCCTCCATTTCATAACTAAGGCAGAAACATGATTTGAAAATGATGCTAGTCACAGGAACTCTTGCAATCTCAGCTTCAAACCTACACTCTGCAAACAGCCTAAAGTTTCTGTTTACAATTCACTATTTCACCAGAAAATCCTCTTCTGAAACTAATTTACCAAATAATTTTGGAAAGCAAATATGAAACAGGTATGAAAACAGACTAAATATTATAATTTCTGAATGCGAAGAAATATTTGAGGGATATATTTCTGAAACAAATTGAGCTCAACTACTCAGTTAAGAATTTCTGTTGCAATAAATATAAAACTGCAGTTGTACTGTATTAGCTCCTTTTTCATTTCATCTCTCTCATTAGTTCTCTGCTTTTAAAGAATGGAAAACATTGTTCATCTGGGAATAACTGACTGAACCGACACATGATTAAATTAAGAGACTAGAGAGCTGACCTATCAAAGCAGGTGCCTGCCCTCACTTTCATATCTTGGCTACAATTTTTACAGAAGGCATGAATCTACTTAACAGTGATTGGCGGACAGATGTCAGTAATAACCCCTTTAAAGAAAGCAGTAGATGATGACGCTGGTTTGAACAAACGTGCCTGCAGAGATCTAAGGGTAGAAGACTTTGGCAAAGCTATAGTTCTATCATTTTAAAATGGCACAGTCCCAAGAAATGGAGTATATAGTATGCAGAGAAACTACAAATACTGAAGACATTATTTTAATATATCCAGTATCACAGCCTAATCTTGTGCTTAATAATTTTTAATTATACAAGACAAGCATAAATTTTTATATCGAAACAGGCAATAAAAGTTCAAGTCTCAAAGCTTCTTCCCTTCAGTGTGAGTCAACTCTAAAGCACGTGACTCGGCTCAACAGTTCTTCAAGTTCTCAGACAGACTTGAAATAAAGAACCACCCAACATAACACTTCAGGATCAAATCTTTCAGACTGCAGGAGACCAAGCCAAAAAAAGCTGGCTTGAAAGACATTGTGAATTGTAAATCAGTATTAGAAACCTGATTGAATTCACCAACTGGAGTTGTTTGAAGTAGGATCTGGGACCAGTATAAGCAAACATTGCAACAGGTGAATGCAGAGAAGAAGTCACATGGTTGTTTTATCAGTATTTCAGAAAGCAAAAAAGGTTCTGAAGTAGATAAAAAATTGTTCCTGACCTCACACAAAAACCATAGGAACACATGAAAATGGTGTTTTGTAAGACATAGCTTTTCTTTTCAAAGACACGTTGTATATTAACAGGTTTGGCAAAGCAGCAATGGAGAAAGATGACTTCCCCAAAATTAATGCACTAGGGTAAATTAATTATGTTTCTTCCTCTGCAGCATGCCTTTTTTAAAATCTTGTGGCTCAATAAGGTAAGTGGAGAACAGTGAAGGCTGAAGCGGATGAGACACTGGAACTGGCCCAGAGAAGTTGTGGATGCCCCATCCCTGGCAGTGTTCAAAACCAGGTTGGATGGGGATTTGAGCAACCTGGTCTAGTGGAAGGTATCCCTGCCCAGGGCAGAGGGTTTGGAACTAGACGATTTTTAAGGTCCCTTCCAACCTAAACCATTCTATGATTAGGAAAATGCATGACTAAAATCTGTCCAACCCTGCAACAACATCGAAAGATCATTTGCTTTGCCTGGGACTTCCAGTCATTAAAAAGCAAATAAGTTTGGGTTCTGAGAGCACAAATTAAGAAAACAGATTTACTGAGAGCAAACAAAACAACTACTGTTATAATCAGCAATATGGTTTGTATCAGGAAGCTATGAGGTGAGGACATACAGGCATGTCAGTAGTAAACACTGCTGAATTGCTAAAGCTATGTTAGTCACCTTGGATTTGTACAGAGATTACATATTTAATCACCCATACACATTTGCACAGAAGTTTTTAATACTTAGCTTAATTCTCTACATGCTTTCAGAAACCTACATGATTATGAAACAGATGAGTCTTCCCTCTATTACTCACTGGGATGGATTTGATGTGTGGAACAACACAGCATTGCTTCACAGAACGTTCTTAACTGCAAAAATAGTTTTTAGATACAATAGAGCTAACCTTAAAAATTCCTTACCTTGAAAGCATCATCATTTTGGCCTTAGTTATTGTAAATCCTGCATTAATAATGATATCAATTAATTCTCCAATCTTGGGCATTGCATCAGGTTTAATCAAAGCCAGTGTTCTGAAAAAAGAAAAAGAAAAAGTAGTAGAGAGATACAGCCAACACTACTTTACTTAGAGCACTTCGTGTGCATGTGAAGTTTATATTCAGTCAAAAAAACATCACATCAAAGACAGAAATTGTGCCACAGTCAAACATCCTACTCCCAGTGTCTCATCAATTTCCACGCTGTTCTTGAATGCCTGCACAAGACATTATTCTGATAAAAACCAGCTTTGCACATTACAATTTCCCTGGCTTTCTAACCCAAGTCAGCCTACGGTGTCCCACCAGCAGTCATTATTTACTGGCTTCTTCCTTCACTTTCAGAGGAAACAATTTGACCACTTCTTCCTTAGCTAGTGTCTATCTCTATAGCTCTTCCCTCATGGCTCTGGGTTAGAACACAACTGATTTGTTAATGTCTCCTCTGGTTGCTCAGGTCCCTTTTTTCCTTTAATCATTATACACACAAAAACAAGGCTGTTAAAATTCCCTGTTTAAACATACTACTTAAACATGTGCCTCTTCCGTAAAACTCAAAGTGAAATAATTGTTTTATTATTACTTTTAAAATATTTGGAGGCCTCAGTGAGAAGAAAGTCCTGTTGTGCTTGGTACAGTACAAACACTCACGGTATACAATATGCATGCCAAACAGCTGACACTGTTAATAGACACAATAAAAGGTTGGCAGAGGAGGTATTACATCCCTTATACTGACTGACAGCTATATTCTAAGGGAGATCAATCAAAAAATGTCTACACTCTCCCCCATATCTTTGTTTCCAAGTACGTCCTGTCTTCTCAATAATTATCTTTTTATACTATACATCCCCAAGGCCAGGACTGTGTTATTAGTGTGCTTTGCATAGCGTCAAGTACACCATCAGCACTAAACATATTATTAATCAAAAATAACAAGCACAAAAAGAAGGTCTGTAAAATGGCATTTTCTATTTGCATTCATCTTGTGGTGAGTCAGCTTCAAATGTGCTCAGCTTACAAATGAACAGATTTAGTCAACCCTGTATCTCAGAAACTCCATCTCTGACAATCCTAAAGAGTTCTTTCCATCTTTTACACTGTTTCCAATAACAAAGGCTACCCAAGACAGATTTTTTTATTGCAGTACTTCCTGAAATGAAAGGCAAATAATTGCAAATTTCTCATTTTATACACCAGCATAGCATGGAAAGCAGCCTTTAGGTTAGCAGCAAAATACTCTAGTCAGAGCAAATATACTGAGGTTACAGGAGATGGATGAACTTCCACTACTTCTACTTCGAATCTTAAGTGACCCCAGATTGACAGACGTTTTGGGAACAGACAGACTATCTATTTCACAGCAAATCTAAAGGAAGGGAGGTTTTAGGACCAGGAAATGTAAAGAGGAAGATTTAAAAGTATGCGACATTTCATCTGAAAGTAAGGGAGAGACATAGATTACCTTCAGAAACGGAGATTCCCTCAAGCATCAGGAAGTTCATATACACAGACCAGCTTAGCCCCAGACCCGTTGGGAAATACGACACAAAGACTAATGGACTAAGGTGTAGCCAGAAACCGCATGAGAGTAGTCAACCAAGCCTATGCTTCAGTCCATTGCATGGACTAAAGCTGGTTTAGCCCTATCTTCAGATCAGGAAAGGCTGACCTCTGGCCAATATTCAACACAGTTTACTAACATACTCCACGCAGCCTACAGCCCGTAGCCTGTCCCCCTCTTCCCCAAGGATTTCACAGCTCCACCTCATTTTGTGTTATAATTTTCATATGACAGGGTGTGCCACGTGCATCGAGGCACATGAGGGGGATCAGTTGCATGGCTTGACTGATGACACATACCCACTTGGGCACACAATGCACGATCTGCATCTCAGCATAAGAGGTTCTCAACTGTTGTTTACCATGAACAGTAAGGATCAAATCACTGGAACGAGATCCCCAGTGCTGTTCACATTACCTTGAGGAATACTTTTTTGAATCCATGTTATTGCACAGACTATTTGAGACAGACTGCTAATGCTAGAAATAAACTGTCCCTTACTTTGCAAGCTTCCTAGTAAAATGTAATTCTTAGCAATTTGTAATGAAATATTGCATTATGAAGCAATTTACCTAGAAGATATTAATACAAGCTGCAACGAGCAACTCTTACAACATCTTTTCTCCAGCACTTTTACATTTCAGTGCAAGCTTCTCAGAGGTATGCGGGATAAGAAAAGTGTAATTCAGGATGCTGAAGACTGTTTCTGAGATTGGATTTTGATTCATGTGCCCTATTTTTAGTTTTAATTAGGAATATGTTTCTTGTGGTTTGACACGATGCAGTCTGCAAAGCACATTTTGAAATAGTTTTATGTCTAGGAACAAAGGAGAGAGTTTTTAAGAGGAGAGAGTTTAAGCTCATTTGCTTACATTTTCAGAGAGACTGTACGACAGTACTCCAATGAGTACTGAAACATCAGAAGATGGTAACTGATCAAAGGAACAGAGCACAAAGCATGCTGCGACTATGCTTGTGAGATCTATTTATTTCTAATAATAGGACTGTTGCATGTACAGTAGCTTATATCTTGTAGGGGAAGAAACACTGATTATGTCAATGACGGGAAGCATAAGAATAACATATCCAATCAAAAAAGAATTCAGATCTTTCTGGTTGAGACACAAGCTTTCTAACACCATTTCCAAACCCAGTGATATTAACTGACTCTAAGTATAGTCTACCTAGACAGAACACACTACTCGGACAAACGTTTACCTCGGGTTACAACCATCCAGGATCACAAGTGAAAGACTACAGAAACAGAAATCCCTATCCCATGCCAGTGATTCCTGAAGTGGTGCACTGTAAGTAAGCACAGGCTTACTTACCCATTTTGGTCACTGTGTGTGATGGTTTCCTTATCATGCGCTGGGAGAGGAACAGGGAAGAACAACACTGAAATACGGCTATATTTAAAAATTGACCCAAGACAGAAGAAAAGTAGGTGTAGAAATTGAAAATCTGTAGAACTGTCTTAATAATTTTAGCCAAGTTCTAGACAGGGCCTGTGCATATGCACCCTCTTTTTACACATTTGTTTTGTACCTCACGTACCTAGAGTCACAATCACTTGCTTTACTGACAAAAACAAAGGTCCCTAATTCAAAATGTTCAAGATTTTTGACATACATTAGTCAGTCTTCCTCAAAGGTCTGTGCTGAGGCTGTTCGCATACACATTCAGGACCAAATAACATATTTCCAAAGTCAAACTAAACTGCTGATAGTCCTGTACAGAACAAAGGCAAGAAAAAGATGGGGAAACATCCTGCCTCATACAACATCCTTTTTTTTTTATTAGAATTCCAACTACAGATTATTTTAGGAATTATCACATATTGCAGAAATCTTACTATATCTATTTAACTAATAACTGCTGTAAAAACTGCTAGGACCAGGCCAAAAAGACAAATACCTCATATGCAACTGTTTTGCCCAAGGACTCTTTTAATATGACCCTGTTTACCCAGTGAAAGCTTCTGTGAAGAAACTGGATTTTGAGGATTCCTTGCCTGTTTAAGACACCTTTCACTGTGTTCCTTTGGGCTATTCTGAATGTGTAACACCACTTGCATATCTATGTTATCTTTCAGCCAACATTCCTAAAATGTTTTCCAAACAGCTGACATGTCATAAATTCCCTTCCTTCCTTTTGTAGAGCAGCACAAAAACTCACCCCCTCCCAGGACCACTTCAATGACACAACTATAGCAGTGTGGTATTGACAGCAAGTTCCCTTACAAGAAGAAGAAAACGTCATCTTTTCACAGGCTGCCTTTTCTTGGTATTCAGCACCAGGGCTTACGCTATTTCAGGCAGAGCAGGAAATACACAACTATAAAAAGTTACATTGATACAAAAACCATACACAAGACAGATGTAATCTGCCCAAGGCTCCAGTGAGGAACAGAGTAGCCACATACACAGAAGCCGTCCTCTGGTGTTCTTCACCTCCTTTGCTACTCTTCCACCATTCCCAACCCCAGCTTGGAGAAAAAGGACCAGAAGAATTCCTTCTGGAAAGACGTATGACAGTCCTTTCCAAGGCAACATTTTTATGATGTTAAGACAAAGATGTATGTTAAAACTTGCAACTATTTGTGTATGTCTGGTTATGTGCAACTCTCCAAAAAGAGTTCAAAATAAGCCCAGTTAGTGGGAGGGAGGAAGAAAGTAGGTGAATAGGGCTCTCTAGAACATCATACGCAATAAAAAAATTCTGTGCTCTTTTCAAAAAATGGTGGAACAAATTATGAAAATTTATTAATTTGCAAATTCAGAGATTACCTGCACTGCAGTTAAACCAGGTTTAAATTCCTTGTAAATTAATCCTACTGTCATTTTATTAAGTCTCTCCTGATATTTTTGTTGTTGGATGGGCTCTTAAAATCTTTTCCAAAGCAAGTCTTTCAACCAAAAGGAGATGATGAGTCTTATCTTCATCCATTATAAATGAAACTTGTCTTAACAAAGAAGTTTATAAGTTTTATTGACATTCTCACTCTATACTTCCTGTCCTCATACATACAGAGTTTAGGGGATGTTGAAAAAAGTCTCAGAAAAAATCCCCCATAGTGGGAAAAACAACGGAGAATGGGAATGTGCCTCTCTCACTCCTGATCCTACTGTTTTCAGTTCCTACTACTACCACAGAGTAGATCTGATTGGTAAGGCACTAGGCTTCTGCACAGACCCCAGAGAGACAGGTGGCAGTTTTGCAAGAGCCCAGAACACATCAGGGTTACCATAACAATTCTGCCCCAAGAGAATCCACAAATCCCAAGAATCCTACTGCTGCCTGTCCTGGGGGAGGTAACAAAGCTGAACAGGACCCCCTGTTTTCCTCCTCCCCCTCTTCTCTCCCAAGAGACCTAGAGAAGGCAGCAGTTGACACCATGGAAAAGTTGGCCTTGAAGATTTTTCAGATAACAATGGAAATCTTGTGTTCACCCACAAGCAGGGTCCACTTTGCTTCTCTCCAGCTATCAGTATGCCAGATCACTTCAAACTGCATGAAAACTTGTAGCTATCTCCTCCTCTCCTCACAGTACAGAAAACTTACCTCATTTCCAGCAAAGAACAACTACTTTGAAACCTCAACCACAAAGCAAGAGATCAAAAAATGTGCTTTCTTACCTCTCTTTGCGGCTCCCCAGCTTGCGGGCTGTATATTGATCTCCATAGTCCACTAAGGATAGATGACGGGAAAAAACAGTAATTTTGTTGCCCACAAATAAATCCTCAAGGTGTAAGCTCTCATACTTGGTGCGCTTCAGAAAGGTGCGACGGTTCTTCACATCATACTGCAGAGAAAATTAGATTAAACCTACCATAGCACAAGATTCAAGCTGTGGGCAAACTCAACGTAATTTTTACTCTACCTTCAGAAATTTCCATAGTACTGTGGAATTGAATCTGATCACTAAATTGATTTAATTCCTAAACCTTTGAACTTGCAGGTGTACCAGGAAAGTTTAGAAGACTAAACCACAATTACGAATTTATTCCATCCCAGTAGTCTCAGGCTGACAGCCATCTTTGCATTTTTTATTTTATCATTTGCTTGTGCTAATTCAAGCTGTGATAAATGGTTCAGGTGCCCAGTCTCACCGAGAGTTCCCCCTAGCAGATCTATGCTGTTTCACAGACCAATGGCTCGCACCAGGAATGATCAAGATGCACACTGTGGCTGGTCTCCTCTTCGAGGCATCGTTCCAGTGATACTATGCTTTATTTGACTGCATAAGACTCAGAATTAGGGATGGACGGATGACTGCAACACTACGTTGAGACGTTCTCACTGCCTAGAGCTGCAAGCTCATAAGCCTGTCAAGACAATTCAGCTACATATCATCATTCTGAGCAAGAAAAAAAGACGTTAGTGTGTAGTTTTCTGGGTGGGCTGGCAAAGCACAAAAGGCAACCTGCTG